TTATAAACTGTTATTGATTAAAAATAATAATTAGTAAACAGTAGGCCTACGTTCCGTGTATAAAACAAATAAAAGGCAGTATTTAAAATATCCGCGTTTCACCTACTACATTACACTTAATCAATCCAGGCTAATTATATATTTTTCTCCAACATGAAAACAAACTAATGAAAATATTTTTTTCCCTGATCTAAGGGAAGTAAACATTTTTTTTCTGATTTATTAAGGTATGTAATCGGCAATAAATAAAACATAGTTTAGTAATTTGTATAATTTTTAAAATGTTTGTGAAGAATGATACATTATCTTTGACTTTGTTTATTCCACGTTCCGTTATTAAAAAATGTTAAGTTTGTAAACTTCTACGGTTTTAACAAAACTATTCATATTATCTTTTAAATCACTTATTTAGATAATAAACGCTTTAAGAATATTACACTATGGCGATCAAGTTTTTTTTTTTTACTTTATACCGCAATTGTCAAGGGTCCGTCCTCTGTCAGTCACATACATATAGAGACACAGAAACAATTTGAGCTTTATAAATTCGACTAGCCGTCCCAGCCAGGCCCTGCACTGCCTTTTGTAATGGACCATGACTTGTGTATTATGTAATCAGCATATATACGGCATTTCCCGGACATATACTACTTTTCGAACTAAACCTAACAACTACCAACCAAAACCAAAACACACAACAAAATACAAACATACGCAAACCGAACCAACTACACAAACACAAAGAAAACGCAAACATAAACATAAATGCAAAGTGATCACAGTCTAGCCCGGGGCGCCAAAACGCACCATACTGGGGCGCCAGCGGAATCGCCTGATTCAACTTAGTAAACGATAATAGTACCCCAACTTATTCACAGTCATTTGCACTCACTTAAACGAACGTAGGTGCCATAGAGAACACGGAAAACCCGAGGCGCCAAAAAAGCGTCCTATCTGGGCGCCGGAAAACGCTCTGGTTAGATTCAATTAAACACTATAGTTACCTTTCTTATCCATCGTCTATCGCACTGTTCAAAACGAAATTATGCAACATAGCGCTCACAGGAAAGCCTGTACGCCAAATCGAACACCGCCGGGGCGCCGGCAGACACGCCCGACTCAATTTAGTGAACGTCTGTAATACCGCAAGCTTATCCGCAAACGTAAGCATAGAGGACATTTAGGCGCATCTTCTAAACTGTTATTGATTACGTTTAATATTAGTAAACAGTACGTTCAGTGTATAAAAAAATAAAAGGCAATATTTAAAATATCTGTGTTTTACTCATCATATTGCACTTGACCAATCCACGCTGATTATGTAACATAAAGTAACATAAAGTAAAATCCCCCCTCCCCCTAATGTAATGTTTTTTAAACGGTACTAATTGTGTTTTCAAATTTTATCAAGGGGCGTAAGTAGTGTTAAGGGAGTAAATGAAAATAATTTTAGACATAAATAGAATTTTTGTGAAGGGTGTTACATTTTCTTTAATTGTGTTTGTTACATTTTCTTTAATTGTGTTTATCGCACATGCAATTACTTAACACTATAAGTTTCGAAAACGAAAGTATTTTTGTAACACCTTCAGTATTAATTTTTAAAATTATTATTTTGGAGGATGAGCACTTTAGATATATTACACTATTGCGATCAAGTCTATTTTTTTGTATATTCCTTTGTAAACACGGGTCCGTCCGCTGTCCGCTGTCACATATAGAATTGAGCTTTATATATTAGATTTCCCAAAACCTATGTAATACGATTCAAAATATTTAGAATTTAATTGTAACTGTTGAGAGAAGTATAAAAAAAAACATTAGCAAATTATTTCGGCAATTTAGGGCGGAAAGTTAAATTTACCCAAGTAAGAAAATGTTTACCCCACACTGCTGGAAAAAAGGATATATAACTCAATATTGGTAAACTAGGCATGCTGCCCAGCTTCGCTTAGGCTTTCGAAAACATTGAGAATTTGAATACTTAATTAATTCGCCCATATAAGGCGCCGGTCAGTCGAGGTCAGTTTTGACCCCCTCATCGTAGACTTTTTGGCCAACCGGCCCCCGTGTTCTGTCGCCCCAAAGCAAGATCCAGCCAAATTTGAAGCGCGTGCGGCGCCGGGAAGTGCCCTATGGGGCACCCGACAACTTAGCTTTATAGATCATCTTGATCTAGATCTAGAATCTCTAGATCTAGATTATCTAGAATATCTAGATCGAGATCAATATCTAGATCTAGAATCTCTAGATCTAGAATCCAAATAGATAAAATACATTTTTTAAGTTTAGGCCGAGAAAATCGTATTGTATACATTTCATAGCGTACAAGGCTCTAAATAATATTTGAATGAAATAGTTCATTTCTTTTTATTCTAAACTCGGAAGATGACGTCATCAGTTTCGTGCTCTTTTTTTAGTGTAAACAATAAGCGACGTCATTGTTAAATGCGTTCTTGTCCCAAGTTTATACACTTTTCCGGTTGCATAAATAATACTG